ATTGCCAATGACGATCTGATATTTTGAATATCAAATAAGAACTAGAACTATCACTAAATGTGATTAATACCCCCACAAGTCTGCTTTGGAAATGAGGATGTTACTAGTAACAGAATACCTTGTAATAGAATTGAAACATAGAGTTATGGTTGTGGGCAATTAAAGATAATTGTGGTTCATGTATGTTGCATTTCCTTTCAATGTGGTTGGCCATTGATGAAGTTTAATTGAATTACTCTGTAATAAGTCCAGAAAGACAAAGAAAAAGAACAAAGGGCAATAACTCTATAAATACTGAAGATAGAGTTATAGTTCTTGTGCACTGCACTTCCTCTTATTGTGCTTGACCATTGTATGAAGTTGTTTTGAATTCCAACCAGTACGTTTTAAGTTATGCTCCGGACAAGGAAAAGTATCAAAGGGCAGTAACTCTGTATTTTGTCAAAATGGAGTTATGGCTCTTGTGCACTGCACTTCCCCTTATTGTGCTTGACCATTGTATGAAGTTGTTTTGAATTCCAACCAGTAGTTTTCAAGTCCTGCTCTGGACAAGGAAAAGTAACTAAGGGCAGTAACTCTGTAATTAGTCAAGATGGAGTTATGGTTCTTATGCACTGCACTTCCTCTCAATGTGCTTGACCATTGTATGAAGTTATAATGAATTCCAACAATAAGTCTTCAAGTTATGGTCCGGACAAAAGAAAGCAATGGAAAAGTAACAAAGGGCAATAACTCTGTAATTAGTCAAGATGGAGTTATGGTTCTTGTGCACTGCACTTCCCCTTATTGTGCTTGGACATTGTATGAAGTTGTTTTGAATTCCAACCAGTAGTTTTAAAGTCATGCTCTGGACAAGGAAAAGAAACAAAGGGCAGTAACTCTGTAATAAGTCAAAATGGAGTTATGGTTCTTGTGCACTGCACTTCCTCTCAATGTGCTGGACCATTGTATGAAGTTATAATGAATTGCAACAATTAGTCTTCAAGTTATGGTCCGGACAAAAGAAAGCAATGGAAAAGTAATAAAGGGCAATAACTCTGTAATTACTTTAGATAGAGTTATGGTTCTTATGCACTGCACTTCCTCTCAATGTGCTTGACCATTGTATGTAGTTATATTGAATTCCAACCATTAGTCTTCAAGTTATGGTCCGGACAAAAAAAAAGAAGGCAATGGAAAAGCAACAAAGGGCAGTTACTCTGTAATTACTTTAGATAGAGTTATGGTTCTTGTGCACTGCACTTCCCCTTATTGTGTTTGACAATTGTATGAAGTTGTTTTGAATTCCAACCAGTAGTTTTCAAGTTATGCCACGGACAAGGAAAAGTAACAAAGGGCAATAACTCTGTAATTAGTCAAGATAGAGTTATGTTTCTTATGCACTGCACTTCCTCTCAATGTGCTTGACCATTGTATGTAGTTATATTGAATTCCAACCATTAGTCTTCAAGTTATGCTCCGGACAAGGAAAATGCAACGGACAAAAAAAAAGCAATGGAAAAGCAACAAAGGGCAATAACTCTGTAATTACTTTAGATAGAGTTATGGTTCTTGTGCACTGCACTTCCCCTTATTGTGTTTGACAATTGTATGAAGTTGTTTTGAATTCCAACCAGTAGTTTTCAAGTTATGCCCCGGACAAGGAAAAGTAACAAAGGGCAATAACTCTGTAATTAGTCGAGATAGAGTTATGGTTCTTGTGCACTGCACTTCCTTTCAATGTGCTTGACCATTGTATGTAGTTATATTGAATTCCAACCATTAGTTTCAAGTTATGCTCCGGACAAGGAAAATGCAACGGACGTCTGGACCGACCGACCGACCGACCGACCGCCCGACCGACCAACCGACCGACCGACCACCGGGTGACTCCTATATACCCCCCCAAACTTCGTTTTTGGGGGTATAATAAGTAACTCCTTATAATAACCAAATCATTTGCTGATTACCTCCCTTGTACAAATATACCCGATATCGGGGACCACAGTATCTTTTTCTATTATATCAATTTACTGATAATTGGTGTTAATACCATAAAACTAACATGCATTACACATGATGTGAGAAATCTTCTATTTACAATGATCACATTAAATTAATTCACGGGGTTGGCGCCTGTTTTGTATGTAAGTTGCGTCAGACACCGCAAGTTCGATCCCCTGTCCTAATATCGGGATATATCATATCAAACAAGTTAAAAATGATACTATACATACATTTAAATGTAATCACGAAAAATAAGAATAATTTTCCACCAAACAACAATCTGGTTTTGACCAAGTTAAGCCCTCCACCTGAGGACATCAAGATGCGTTTCAAGTATTGACTTTATACAGAAAGACAATTTGTCACATAAACCGCGGCTCAGGAGGGTAATAAAGCCATTTAATAATCAAAGCACAGAAGGCGCTGAATTTGTTTGGTTCTCAGAATGTAAGAAAGGTACAGGTTTTGAGATTATATGTATAGTGCCACCAATGCTTTCCAGTGTTTTAACTGTAGTAAATTGGCTATAAGACTAATTGCAACACTGATATTCAATCCAATGTTTATTTGACTAAAACAATTTGAAAAAAAAAATGAGTTGCCTTTACTGGGATTTGAACTCCAGACCTCTCACTTCCTAAGCGAGCGCGAAAACCCTACAGCCACGGTGAATTTATATTTAAACGGCCTAAAGAAAACCATATTATTCTAAATTAGGGCTTGTAACGAGTTTAACTGTTGTTTAACACAGATGTAAATAATCCTTGAGCTTACTATAAGCATGTATATTTATAAAGAATCAAAGGGCTACAAGTTCTGTGGTATTTTCTGATCTTTGCAATCTAAATCGTACTGTATATCTGTATGTATTTTCCTGTATAAGTTTATTTTTATGTATTATAATTCATTTTGCAAGGCACCAGAGTTTGATACATACGGAAGTCTGCATAACTAGAGTTGCATCAAAAAATCATTTAAAATCATTTTTTACGACAGTCACACTTTATCCTTGCATATCATGGCTACTTCCTTAACAAAGACACTTAAAAAAGAATTTAAAAAAAAAAGTTTCCTCGACTGGGACCTCTCACTCACTAAGCGAGCGCGTTACCCCTGCACCACGGAGAAGTTATACAAACAATGGCTGAATAACATCAAGTCATTCTAAATTTAGAACTTCCATTGCATTTCATGTTTGTAATCCTTATTAATTTTGAGGTATTTTGTTCAGGATAAACCTGTTGTTTAAAATTGAAGTAAATAATTTAGCGAAAATTTTCTCGCCCAAACAGTCCGACATGTAGAATCTATATATTCCACTACATGGTTAGCGTAGTATTCGGTAATCGACATCGCTAAAAATAGTATTTTCATTGATAAAATCATATTCATCCGCGTAATTTGTGAATGTGCATTTATTGACAATTCTATAAGCCAACGCTATTTTTAAACTTTGAATGTGTTGTAATTTGTTGGATACTTGTAACAAAATAAAAAAAAATTCTTTCTTTTAAATCGCTAGTTTTAAGCTGTTTTGAGAACTACTTGTTGTTAGGTTTGTTGTAAACTTCTGTATCAGAGATTGAATGTCCGCTTTGTATTTACTTATTTTCGATCAGAAAATGCAATAAAACAATATTAGAAATCTCCGACGATTCGGGAATTATTTTGCTTGAAAATTAATGTGCCTGTCTTTGACCATCTTTACGCAGTGATCTCCCCTGAATCTTTCGGCGTTAGTGTACATATTAAGGGAAGTAACCGCTTCAAAAAAGTGGACTACTTTCGGCATTTGCAATTAACAGCATTAGACTCTGAAATTTCGCTACCATTATTTGTTTGGTCTGACGACCCAAACAAATAAACAAAGGGCTGCAGCTCTATGGTATTTTCTGATTTTTGCAATCTAAACTGTATGTACTTTCCTGTATAAGTCAAATTTATTTTATATACTATAATTCATCTTACGCAGCGACAGCGTTTTGATTTTCTTCTATAACAGTTTGAGATTGATACATATGGAATTTTGCATGAAAAAAAAATAGAATTGCCTCGACTAGGATTTGAACCATAGACCTCTCACACCCTCAACGAGACCGCTTACCTCTGCACCACGGCGAAGTTATACATATGTACCTTGAATAAAAACGAATACATTATGTAATTCTAAATTGAGAATTTCCATTTCGTGTTTGTTATCCTTATTAATTTCGAGGTATTTTGTTCACGATAAACCTGTTGTTTAACACTGATGAAAATAATTTAGCGAAAATCTTCTCGCCAAAACAATCCGACATGTATATATTCCACTACTCGACAGTCAGATTTATTTGTGTACTACGCTCTGGAGTATTCGGTAATCGACATAGCTAAAAATAGCATTTTCATTGATTAAAATGATATTCATGATAATCCGAAGCTTTACGGAAATAGCCGAACATTTTTCATTGGGTAAAAAAGATATTCATCCGCGAAATTTGTGATTGTAACCTCATATTTCTGTTGACTAATCTAAACTTTTAATGCACTGTAATTCGTTAAACGCCTTCATTAAAAATTATTCTTTCTTTTAAATTGCTGGTTTTTAAGCAGTTTTGAGTGAGAACTACTTTGCGTTGTTAGGACTGTGAGGAAATTTTGTGTTAGACCGTGGATGTTAGCTATGTATTTACTGATCTTACGATCAGAAAATACAAAAACGATATTACACTAGTGTAATAACACTTTGACGTGACGTCATTTGCGCTATATAGAAACATAGCGTTAAAGCGCGCTAATGTTAGCGTTACAATATAGTCGCGTAATTGAAAAATTACTCATTTTAACAGTTTACTGTTTTTATTTTATGTATGTGATAAAAAGAATATTATATTCGTGTAGATTCAATACTAAATTTATTGAACTCGTTGAATAAAACAATATTATGCTCGCCAGAGTCTCGCATAATATGATTTTATTCAACTCGTTCAAAAAATTTAGTATTAAACTACACTCATTCAATATCCTCTATATAATTCATGGCGGATATTGAATAAATTTGTTGTTATTGTTGATATAAATCATTGGTTACATGAGTCTAATTACATCATTATGATATGATCTGGTAGAAATCTTACATATACTTTTAGTATGTAACATGATGTAACATAATGTCTTGTATCGAAAATGAAAGTACAAGACAAAGTGATGAGGATATGTTTTGCAGGGATGTTACAAGACTGATCTTACGTCATACTTCTTCATAGATTAAACTTTTTTAAAGTATCACTGTCATTAGTAATAAAAAAAAAACGTTTATTTTGTATTCCTATTCGTCTTTATGTATATATACGCTTATGCAACATAGAATAATAATTTCTCTGGTACCACAGTGAGAATTTTATACAAACAAATATCCACTACATCTTCAATGTCATCGTATCTCAAGGCAGACGACATTTTGTTACCTTACCTCTAAATATAGCTTTATCTCTTCAAATACACGTAATTAAGAAATTCCTGGACACTCCAAAAACACACCTGTAACAAAGAGATAAAAGATATTAAGTTAAATACATTTGCAATCTTTACAGCAAATATTTAATATGCAGTAACAGAATATGTATACATGTAATCTTAGCCTAAAGGGGAAGTGTATTTAAGTAAAATATTCCATTTATGCAAATTACCTATTCTTGCATGTAAAATACATATTACAATTTTAGATAAATATTTTAATATTCTTTGCCCCAATGTCTAATTTCTGTGTCCCATTTTCTAATATGTCTGTATGTAAATTCACACTTATTATGTAAATTATGCTGTAAATGTCCTGTTGCGTACATCATAAAAATTGTTAAAATGCTATTAACTGTAATTGTTTTAGTTTCCAATAGTCCGTGTAGAAACTTCTTATTCCTTTTATGGAAAACGTAAGACTTTGTAATATAAGCTAATTTTTACCTCTAAAATTCTTATTTTTATTTATATTTCTGTGGCAATGCGTAGATCATATGTTATTTTGGTTTTGGAGTGATATATGTTGATATATTACCTGTCAAGATTTTATATAACCCGAGCCGTTAGTTAATTATTATTTTGGTTTTGGAGTAATAATTTTATTACATGCTTTTTGGTGGATTATAGAAATATATCAGTGATATAAAACTGGTAATTTCACTGTTTGAAACAGTGAAATTACCACTTTGATAATTTCACTGTTTTGAATTTAAGCCCCTTACGTTGTTTCAGTGAAATACCAGAGTGCACAGTACTGGGTACCAACTTAATGACGTGACGTCGTAAATGACGTCACGTTGTATTATTATTTGGCGCGCTTTTCATTCAGTTTTAGGTTAAATGTCTTTTTAAAACGTTTCTTTGCATATAATAAAAAGAAAATTTGTTTAGTTTAGTGTAAGATTGAAATATATTTCACCTTGTGAACACCAAAAGTCCATATTTCACTCGTGGCTGCGCCACTCGTAAAATATACCTTTTGGTGCTCACTCGGTGAAATATATTCCGATCTTACACTGAATTAAACAAATATCCTCTATTTATTACCCTTCCCCTGCCGAGTTAAGACGATTTTGAAATAAATCATTGCTACTTCAAATGAAACGTCGAAATAAGATTCCCTTTAGGGTACCCCTTCACCACAACATGACGTCACATAAATACATGACGTATTTTCTTTCGAACCTAACGAATGTAAACAAGAGAAAAGGAGTAGTCTGTTGAACGCACTTTTTTGGAATTAATATCAAGCTTTCACAAGGTCATATTTGTTTTCAATACTGATGAGAATATGTATCATTACTCTATTTTGGTAAATATTTATCATTTGACAGTTAAAAAGTGCTTGTAAATCGGAATTTACATCGCGTAAAATCAAACCGTACGCGCATCGCCACAGCGCATGTTGTTTACAACGTGGGGTACCCAACGGGGAAATTTAGTGTGTATATTACCCGTCTGGCTCGGTAATATCAATTTCTTTCGGGTGATCAATATCCAATCAAAAAGGCGGAAAAAATCTGGAAGGGTAATAAACTTTTTTATGATATTTATTTTTTTATAATTCAAAGTTTCTGTCAACAAAGAACATACTGTTTTTCAAAATATTACAGTTTCCGAAATTAAGTGATGAAAATCATAGAAATGGAAAATGTCAACGATATGCACAACTAGACTTGGTACTGATCATTCCTGTTAAGTTTGGATGAAATTGCACAGGTAGCTTTTTTTACAAGTTTTGTGGTGAACGGACAGATATATATATATTTATGCAAGCGGTAGACATTTTGTACTTTCGGTTTCTACAACCATAACGATAAGTATATCAATAGTTATATATGTCAATTTACTCTATTTATCCGAAATATTGGTATAAATGTAGTCTTCAACTCCCAGCTTTGTTTACATGTTTAGTTTAGACCGAAATACCTTAACCTTACTATTGTGTTCGAGGTTCTTACCCGATGTTTGACGGAAAGCAGGGTCAATTGTTTTGTGTTCGAGGACCATATCCGAAGATTGACGGAAAGGGCCGATAAGCTCCTATTGAAAAAGTTCATGCATGAATAAGGAATGCACAGTTTCTAACATCCAACATCAAAAATAATCAAAATCACATCACGCACTATTTGTACAGTATAAAAGTTATAGTTTGTGGAAAATTTTGAAAAGGAAAACAATCTTATATTTTACTTCCATGATTATTTTTTAAATAATTAATAGTAGCCTAGAAATGGGCAATGAAACGAACATGAAACAAATATAAATTCTACCTGACATTATTAAATCTTCATCAAATAATTTGTATGCCAAAGGTAAGCAATTAGTTGGAGAAATCTAATGAAGTCGTATGCACACTATTACATAATCAAATTGGGTTTTCCTATTACATCAGTAATATTCTTGTCAATTTGAAGTGACGTAGTCTTGATTATCATTCATAAGAAAATAAGAAGAAAAGAAAACAAACCATCTAACGTTAGAACACGTTGTTGATCGGACAAGATTTATACGCTAAGGTGTCACTGTGACCTTGACCTTAGGCCTTATACACTTAAAATCATAATTGCCATCTACTGACCATAAGTACTGTTCCTTCCAAGTTTTACAAACATAAAATTCCTTCTTAAGCTATTAAACGGACGATGATTATACACTTGTGTCACTGTGACCACAGCATCCATAGGGGTCATTTACTGTTCAATGGCAAAGTCATTAAGATTTCCGCGAATCTAAATTTATTCCTTCTTATTAATTTAACAAGATTTTTTACACTGTATGACTGTGACATTACCCTTATGACCTCAAACGGAAATAAGTACTGGCCATGATAAGTTTCACAAACCTAGGTGTATTACTTATCAAATTAATGATCGAACAAGGATTTACACTAGTATCACTATCACCTTGACTTTTGACCTAAGACCTCCAAATCGATATGAGTCATGTTCTGGCCAACCTCTCTTTTAAGTACAAGTATCATACCATGGAACGTTAACCTATAATAGGGGAATTCAATGCATCTTGTGAAGTGAAACAGAGTTATCTCTGACCTTGACTTTTGACATCCCGAAAAGGATAATCATTATTAAAAGTTTTATCAGAAACTTAAATTTCTTATACAATTTGTCAGTAACGTATGGAAGCCTTGGAGGGTCACTTTTGAGTTTCGACTTACAGATATTTTACTTTTGACTTTCGACTTTTGACTTTTGATTTGTGACTTACGTCTTATGACTTTTGGCTAACCCATTTTACACGTGCTCTAGAAGCTGAAAGCAGCCATTTTGGTTTCAGGTATGTTTTTTAAACGTTTTAAATAATTTCATTCAGATTTGTCATGAAGGAAAGGAAGTGTTAAGGAGGGAATTCGATATTATTTGATATAATCCATAGTGGTAACATACCACAGACTTTATTTCCACAAGTGTGACTGTGTGTTTTGTACAATCTTCTATGTTCTAAATATGTATATGTTCATTATATTAGTGCTTATACATTTTTATCCTCATCACAAAATCTGTCCATGAGTAACAAACAAATAACTGTTTTACAAGTAGACAGGGAATACAAGTTTTACGTATTAAAATGGCATGGTGCACAGTATTAAACATGTATCGCAATTCAGCATTTTATAGAGCTAACACGGAATTAGTAAAGAACGGCAAGTGCTATGTTCATACATACACGTACAAAGTTAACTTAAAATTTTGATCGAGCACCATTTGCATTTAGCATCAATGTCTAATTTTGTTGTAAATTTTAACAATTGAGAAAAGAACACTTCAGAATAAACGTAGATATAGAACCAGTTAGAACAAAATATCCTACTAGCATTTAAAATATTAATAAATCTTTAAAAAAACGGAGCTAAGAGATGTACCCATTTTATATAATATGAATGTATAAAGATTTAAATAAAAGATAAACTCTTATTTCAGACACAACTACTGGACAAAAGGTAACGAGGATGAAAACCTTGATGTTAATCTGTGTCTTCATCATTATACTGTTCAGCATTACCAAAGCTACCGTGCCAAGATACCTACCCTCAACATCTATAACAAAACTCTGCTGATAATAGAGTACTTTCTGGTACAGCATGGCATTACGACGTCATTTAGTACAGTGAATAGACTTTCAAACGCTTAAATTTAAAACGGCGTAATAGAATATATACTCCTTTTGAGACTGTGTCTGATGTAATAAACAGAGAAATACAAACAAATGGACAACGCATAGAATACCGTACAATATGGCGTAGGTTAATGCTGAATTACCACATGTACGTCAAGGGAGACGACGTCATGGAAATAATAAGATCGCTTGATCCGGATGGTATTGAGATGCGGAAAGCTTATCGCTTATGCCGACGTGTATACTATGCTAAGACATATGGACGTTTAAGACAAACTTAAACCATACGGATTTTATATTCATGGTGCTGTGAATGGGTATAGTAGAAAAATAACATGGTTAGAGGTTTTGGACTCAAATAACGACCCACACCTTATTGCAAGATTCTTTGAGACATCTTTAATGAACATTATCAAGCCCCCCTCACCCAATTACTAGGTTGTGATGTCGGTACGGAAAACTGCATTGCTTTACTATTGTAGCAATACTTCAGACACTATTCTACAGATCCAATAGTTGGTACATGTACTCGAAGCCTTGTAGCTGGAAAAAGCACATCTAACCAACGCATTGAGAAGTGGCGGTGTACATTACGAGAAAAAATGGAATCCATTGGTGGATTTTTTTCCAAAGACTTACGCGATACTTGTGTATATTAATGATCTGGATCCGATACAATGTGAGAACTTAAAATTTTGCTTCATCGACCTGATACAAACCGATTTAGACCGGATTGCACATGAAATAAGGCAACAAAAGGTTCTTCTGTTATTTGTGGTAAACCTGACACACTGTTTTTGTACCAGGTCTGTATGAAACTGACAACTTCGGCAATGCAGTTAACTTGAGAGACGTATATATTTGCAAAGAACATGTTTTCACGC